TATATATATATATATATATATATATATATATATATATATATACTTATATATTATAATTATTAAATAAGAATAAAAGATAAACAAATATAACATAAATGAAATGTTCTCGTAACAGAATTATATCGCTTATTACAAAGAATTATATATGTAATATCATTTTATACTAATATTAGGGCAACAATAATAGAAATCATTGTATACTAAGATTTTACCTCTTGATCGAAGGGGGCGGCCTTTCTGTTTGCATGAGGACCAGTCAGCCATCCTTCTTCATCAGGATTCACTCGACCAACTTCCTCATCGTCGACTAAAAACGTGAAACCATCGCTGGTCCAAATCGTTGTATATACGTGGAAATTCTGCGTCCACCGTGGTCCGAATTCGTGTACTTTACTGACAAGTATTTCTCGGATTTTTGATGTGCTTACTCGCACTCCAAAATCCAATCTCCTAGTGTCATAGATTTTCGAAACGTCCGTAGCATTCACCAAATTCTCGTTGCCACGTGTCAGACCCAGAAGAACGCGGCCGCTGGCATAATTTGCACCGTACGTAGAATAACGCGGCTCAAGCCACATTTCTGATAAAATTATATAGAAAATTCATATAGGAGACTATTTCTAATTCTATACTTCCATTTTATATCATTTGTTTCTATCCAATCATTTATTTAAAATATGTTTTTTATTTAAGATGTTTTTTACGCCATTTTATAGTAATATTTAGATGATATTTTACATTAAATACTAATATTCATATTATTCATTGTATGTTTATATTTAAATATATTTTCTCTTTTTTGATAATTTTATATCTTCTTCAAATGAAAGAATTATGGTGATGACAAAATAACAATCTCTTGTTTCCAAATACCTCCCAAAAAATAAATCAAATTTAAATAATATTTATTAATACAAAATAATTATATTAATATAAAAATATATAGCTTAAAAATATATATATTAATTGCAGGTTAATGTAAATTGCTTTAGATGTATCTATTCAGTACCATATTACTTTATATTTTATATTCCATATTGATTACTTATATGTCTATGTATTCTTGCTAACCAAAAGCAAATTATACAATTATATAATTACCTGGATATAGCCAATCGCCTTGAGGAAACTTCGCACGTATTTCAATCTTTCCATATCGTAGGACGAAACGTTCTTTTGTAGTTAGACGTGCGGATATAATGGGTGGTAAAATACTGAAGGATAGAGCCTGCCGCCTACATTCAAAATCAATTGTGCTGGTACACCTGTGAATTAAAGGGTAAATTATAAATAAAAAATGCAATAGAAATTTTATTAAGTACAGAAAGAAAAATTTTTTATGTTAAAATGACATCTTACAGCTATGTATTTACCCATTAAGTTGCAATCTTCCGTATAAAGTCGCATTCTCGCCATAAGAATCTTCCAGTATAATTGGTTTAATAAATAATTGACCATACCTATGTTGCACAAGTTGCTGATGATTCTCGTTGTGATATACACAAAATTCGTAGTCCTAATTTCAACACAATTATCTTTATTTAACAAGAAAGAAAATGTCTATATTATGTAGTTGCATATTTATATATATATAAATATATATATAAAAATATATATATATATATTTTTTATATATTCATATTTTATTACTGCATTTCTAATAGCTTTAGACGAGTTTTTTAATTCATCGATTAACAAATCGCATTATGCGCAAATGCAACTTTGCCCTATAAAAGCAGCATTTACGCATTATGCGACTAATCAATCGATGAATTAAAAAAGTCATCTTTTATAATAAACAATAAACTTTAAATACACTTGCCGGTTCCAATGGCATCTTTATCTCTCGTTTCCATAATGACTCATTAAAAGAATCGAAATTGTCTTCGAGCAAGAGTTTGCCTGCGGTCGGAATTTCATATCCCGATGTAGAATTTTGTATTTCGTTCTGACTGTCAACTGCTTGGTTTTCTATCGCTATTATCAATTTAAAAAAGATATATTGTAATAATGTATCTTTATTTTTAATAAAGCCTCACTTTACTTGATAAATCAAAAAGAAATTGCATATTTATGTAAATAATCTTACGAGAATATGTCCATCTTTGATCATTTTTTCTATAATTATCTTTATCCGCTTGCACATAAATCCAATAATGAAGTACATCTCCATTTTTTATAGTCACTTCCGAATCCTCAAAAGTCCAACGGCCATCCGTCGCTAAATAAATATCACCCGCTATCTCACCATGTTCATTAGCGCGAATTGCTTTATTGATATTGGCGTGGAATCCAAATATTCTTAAACCCGGTGCATCTGTTAATCGCATCATCATTAAATACGAAACTATTTTTTTTCTTTTTTATTCTAATTGTTCTATTCGAAATCTCATAATTTAGAGATACATAATTCACTACGCATATAATATAATATTTTTACTTTTTACGATATGTCTATTTTTTAGACATAAGTTTGTGATAGAATTCATATTACTATTATGTCATATTCATATCGGCAATTTATATTTGTCTGCTTAGAAATATGATTATATTAAAACTTGTAATTTACATTTACTTGTAAACTTGTAATTTACATATCACAGAAGTATAAACTTCTTGTGATTTAAATTTTCTGAGAGGTCACAATCGTAATCTTTCAATATTACGATGATCAAAACATGTTTGGCGTAGTGAGATAATGTTCCAAGAAAAATCCTATATCAGAATGTTTTTACAATACATTGTATGGATTAATATTTCAAGAAATTTCAAAAGTAGATTTACTGAAGAAAATTATTAGATTATTATATTTCGATTTTTATTCTTAATTATTTTATTCTTAGCTACGATTGTCTCACTAAATAAACCGTTTTAAAAAATTTCGAAGCTTCCGTGAATAATTGAGAAAAATATAATTAATTTTTTACAATTGTAAAAAACAATTGTAAACAATATATTATTTATACAAAAATAAACTATGTAATTGATATCTAATTTACAAAAATTTACAATAATTCTATATAATTCAATGGAATTTGTATAAAGTTTGATATTCATTTTAAGTAATGTAGATGTAACTTTTATCTCAATTTAATTTGTTTTTAATCCTTTTTAAAAATAAAAATTAGAATAAGATAAAAATAAATTCAGATTAAAATTAATCTACATTGATCGAAATGAACATAGAATAAATTTACATATAACATATTACATATAACATATATTACATTAAATAACTAGTAATTAAGAACTTATAACTTTAATGCTCTGTTTATAATTTATTTTATGAATCGTAACATTTAATACAAACATTATTTAAAATGCAAACAATGTAAAATTTCAATACAACAATACACAATATGTTAATATATGTGTTAATATAATATCATTTTAAAATTATTTATATATATATATATATATATATATATATATATATATATACATGATTTTAGCACACTTATGGAAATTCTATACAGTTTATAGTTTTGCCTATATCTTATATATGAGTCTTGTGTTGGACACTGCACTTTTTTAAGTATTTAAAAAAATAATCTTAATTTTCTATGTAAATGATAAAACGATTACATTAGATATATAAAAAAGTGTAAAATACCAACATTTTGGAATATCAAAATGTATTGCGCAATAATAATTATTTTTTTCAATAGAATTTAATCGGACGTTTCTTAATGTTATATAGTTTATAAAAAAAAATCATCTTTTTACGTCCGTTATTTAAACAAAGACATTGCCTATTAAAAACTCTCTTTTATCACATTACGTCTTCGTAAGAACATTACGTCTTCGTAAGAAATAACCTTGCAATTATCAGTTGTTTTTAAAACTTAAAGAAGAGATGAATCACAACGTTAAACCTACCGGGTATAGAAACTCGAAGACCTTGCGGCTTCAACACCTCAAAAGTCGGATCCGGCAGCACGTAGGGAAACACTGGTCTCGCGAGTATGCATGCTAATGCAAAAATTAGCCGGATTATTATCGCACGATTGACTTCGCGAGACAGCATGTTCGTGATTAACGGGTCTCGACGTTGCAGACGCGATATTTATCGAGCACCGAGAGGCACGTTCAAAAAAAACGGCGTGCAAAAAAAGATATGTTAACACATGCGTACATTGCTTTCAATGATCCATTGATCTTTTCTATCTATCACTTTCCTCCTTGCCCCTTCCTTTATGCCTCTTTGTATAGTCATTGGAATTTTGTGTCTCCTCGTATCTGGGATTCCCTCACTAGATCTGACTATTATAACTAATATCAAGTCATCCAAATCTGTACACTGTTGGAAAAAAAATGTGTTGAATTTAACATAAATCGCATGTCCCAAACGGTCCACTCAAAATTTTGTGTTAATTTAACATAATAATGGATGTGTTAAATGTAGTAATACCGACACTTAATATTTCATGTTAATATTTCAACAAAAAAAGAAATGTACTTTTGATCTTAATTTGAAATTAATTGTGTGTACAACAATTAACATAATTTTTATGATGAAATAACATGTCGAGACGCGTCAAAATTCAAGAGACTGTGCCGAAACTACACAAAGAATAATAACAAGTCATCCTCACTCCTGTTATAGAATAAAATCAACATTTTTTTTGTGTAAATTTTAACATATTGAATAAATACGTACGAATTGTGTTATTTTAACACATTTCTTAGATCATTTTAATAATTTTACATTTTATATTTGTTAAGGTCAGATTTTATATTTGTTAAGGTTAACATAGTAGACATATGTTAAATTTACATATAAATATGTAGGTTATTTAACACAAAAATTTTAACAAGGACCGGTTTTAACACAAATACAAAATGTTTTTTACTGTGTAATAAATTGCATTTGATAAATTATTATGTCAATGATTTTTATAACAAATCTTTTCTTTTGTCGATTTTTAAGAATTTAAATTATTGCGAATTATGTTCCAAGTTTTGATTAACGTAATAAAATTTTTGAAAATTCGAATGTTTTCTAAAATATAGAAAATTATTAAAATTTTAAATGGTCCAACCTTTTTGTCAGTAATATTTTCCTGATATTTTATTAATTAAAAAAAAAAATCTTGGTTTTCCTGATTCAAAATCTCGTAATTCTCAAAGTCATAATATTTGGAGATTTGGAACATTTTTGAAATTTTAAACAGTCTATCTTTCTATTAATTATTCTTATTGATCCTTTTAATTTTATCTACTTTTGAAAATCTAGATTTTCAGACATATTAGACATTTGATGCTACGAAGTTTCGAAAAGGAAACAATGCTACTAGTGCCACAAATACTATTAATTCCTCTTTATCCTAGTGCCTTAAATATCAAAACATGCCAGCGTTTAAAAAAAAATTAAAAACAATGATAATTAATCCTTCCGATTTGGGCCAAAATCTAGAATACTTTTCTACGAAACCATCCTCATTTTACAAGAAGGTAACTGAAAATTTGCCAGAAAGATGAAAAAAGATCAGTCATATAGATAGAGATTATTTTGTAGATTAATCTGTACTAAATATTAGATAAAACATAACGTTGCATATCAAAAAATGATATTACTTATGGGTATCCCTAATATAAAGTATAGTGATCTACAAAACCTAACAGTTTCACACGTGGCGATATCGACGCAGCGATGTAAACATGCGTCAAGGAATACCATTGTACTGATCGGAAGACTTGTTTAATCGATAAAACTGCTAAGAGAAACTATTTATCATGTTAACTGTCGTGTCAGGATCTGGCATAATAATCTCGAGGCTATCTCGCAATTTATTTCTTCTTAATATTTCGCTTAAAAAACGAACCGTTTTACAATCGAACAAGTTCAGCAGCTACGTTACAGGTTATGTCTATCACAATTCAACGCAGTTTTTAAAAAAAAATTCTCAAGCATTATTACAATCATCTGTAAAAGTTTTTAGTACAGATACTGAGTACTCAACAATAACGTGAGTACCTTCTTATATTACTTTGTAATGTAACCATTTAAATTAATAGTGTGTAATATCCATGTGTACCATTAAGATTTATTTGTGTAATTTCATTAGCAAACTCAGCTCTGTGCAGTATGAGAAGATTTGTAATGACACTTTGGATTCATTAACTGAATATTTTGAGGAATTGGTTGAAGCAGCGATACATTTGCCAGATGCTGATGTATCTTATGGAGTATGTACATTAATTTAAGAATTTGTAATTTTCATTCATGCATCTGTAATAATATCTCTGAAATTGTTGCAGGATGGTGTACTCACTGTACATTTTGGTGAACCATATGGTACTTACGTTATAAATCGTCAAACGCCAAACAAGCAGATTTGGCTCTCCTCTCCAAAATCTGGACCAAAACGTTATGATTTTGTAAATAGCCAATGGATATATAAGCATGATGGCAAAACTTTACATGAATTACTTAATCATGAGATACCAGCAATTGTAAAAAATCCAGTATGCTTCGACAAATGTTCCTTTAGTGGTAAAGAGAAACAAACTGTGATAAATGAATCCTTTTTTGAGAAATAACTGATGAAGATTTAATTGTAATAGAGCAAGTTTATTAATTATTTGAGATATAATAATATTGTTGAAGATATATATTATTCTAGACCTAATTTGCATGAGTGTTGTACATAAAAATAATATTAAAATAAGAAAGAAAAAGGAAGTTGATATATACTGGTGCTGTCTTAAAGAAATTTTATGTGAGTAATTTTAATATTAAATCCATAATGGATTTGCACTTTATTTGCATTGCAATGACAATAAATTTCTGTAGCATGTTTAGACCATTATTATTTATTATTTTTTATGTTACAACATATTTGTAAAATATTCAAAAATCTAAATTATCTTAAAGAAGGTACATCAATATATTGTTACTAGATGCTATTATAAATATATATACTATAATTATATAATATACATCAACGTATGTTTGTATGATTAATTTTTAAAGGATGAGAAGCCCTAGTAGTGATGTTGAAACAATATCATATTTTAAAACAAAGAATACAATAAATTATAATAAATTTTCAAAGAAAAGCTGTAAGATTTTAAAAATAGACTTCTCTAAAGATTAATATTGCTTGCAAGAGTAATATTTTTAGAATCTTAAAAACGAAATCTGAGTTTTATGTATTAAATGTAAAATGTTTATGATGCCTTTTCTAAGACAATTTATACATTATTATTAAATTAATGTTGTATATGTTTCTTTTTTATATTACAAATATCTTTTTAAACAAAATATATATATTGCTATTATAGTTTATGAGACTGACTTAATTATTATTATAAATTGTGCTTAATTGGTTGAAGCAGCTTAATTTTTAAAATTATTTAATATTTATTGAATTTAATATTTGTATATAATTTTAATTTAATTAGACTAAATAAATCTCTTAATGAATAAATTTTGAATAATATTTTTTTAAGCAAATTTTTTGTCTATGATATAATAAAGACTAAATTTTTTAATTTAATTTGTCTAAATATTTCTTTATTAATTATTATTGATTACATAGAATATTTTATAGAAAAATTTGCTAGAGAGATTAGCTTCAATTTATTATCATATCTTTTATCACTTGTAAAATATATTCACACATGTGCAAAATAATGCTTAACAAGTTAGTTAAATCATGTCGTCCAAACATAATTATCTTCTGTGTTATTCGACAGACAAAAATGGAAATTATGGAAGATGGGAATTTAGTCGACCGCGTTAGAATTTTATTGCAACGGGACATGCAATATTATCAGGTATCAATTAGTTGATAAATCATTCGTCGTTAATGCAATTTGTATTTTGTACAACTTGTAAATGATTTAATAAAATTTACCATCAATTTAATAAAATTTACCATCAATTTGCATTTTTTGCGATGGCTTAATATCTTTGATACTTTTATAATTCATAGATTATATTAACATAAAATATATCAAATCACACTATTCCAAAATTATTTTGCCATATAGCACGACGATTTGATTAAGAAAAATTGGTTTATAAATCATGATCTTGAAAATAGAAATATATGTGCATATATATATATACAAATTGAATTATTCAATTATTTGTTATTATATTATCTTGACCTATTATTCATAACGTTTGTTTTTTATCAATCAATTTAATCAAAGTTTAAGAATTTGATAAGAATATTTTTAGAATATTTTGACCGTACTAATAATAACAAAAGATTATTGAAATTTAAAGAGAATTTCTATTTCTTATATTAATACTATATTTGAAACATCCAATAAATAAACTTGGATTATAAAGAAAACAATTTTTTAAATTTTTATAAGAAAAAATATTGGTAATTACCATTTTTTCTAATGGACGACAAAAATTTTTGGTTCTTAAAATTAATTTTAAAAACAAAAAACTAATAATATCAGATAATTTAAACATATATGAAATATAAAAATATATATATCAAATTTCAAAATTAATTTCAAAACGATTTCAAAAAATAATGTCCTAAATATATTATTTAATTCAAATATTAATATTGCAATACAAGATTTCCCTTTATAAGAATCAATGCATATTTAAAAATTAAATAATTTTTAACTTATTCAATTATTCAGTTTTTACACAGATATTTAGAAAAAATAATAGAACAAACATCTATGAAATGTTTACTTTTGTCATATTTTGGCATAAATCCTTAAAATTAAATTAATTTGCACACAATGTTACTTATAAAATTACAATTGTTAACAATTAACATTTGTTGCGATTTTCGATATAGGAAATGCAAACTGTTCTGAGGGAACCCTTATGCATACGCATCAGCGGTGGGAAGCTCGATTTTCCGCGACATGCTTCGTTCGCTGCGATTAAGATCGTAACATGGTGGGAGGCAGATTTCGTTGCTGCTTTTAGACGTGCTTCCGGTTTGAGCTCTTCTGAGAACGGAAATATGTCCAGCGTCGATAGTGAGGATGGCGTTATTAAGCGAATTCAACCATCCGAGTTTATCCTTCTTGTTGTTGACACTGCGGAGCAACTACTAGGTATTCTTTATATCAGTGACAAAAAATAAACAATAAATGTTGATGTAATGAAATAAATATACAAATCAATATGCAATATACAATTGCAAAGAAAAAAATTGAAAAAAGTCGTTCGTAGAAAAAAAATGCAAAATGATTACGAATCTGGTACTTTTCCTTATATTTAATTATACTCGTATATGATATTTACAATTACATTAAACATGGTAAATTTTTATCTTTATCATTTTTTATTGCTGAACAATCTTCTTTTTAACATAATCGTTAATATCGAAAATACGAAGAATAAAAAGGTTCTAAAGAAAATTAAACACATAGTTGTAAGAATTGCATTAAAAATTGTGTTAAAAATTGCATAAAACTTAAAATTTAAGCTTAATTTATAAAAATGAATAAATAAATAATGTTAGCATGAATTTTTTCAGATTGTTTTATCGATTTCTGAAAAAGTTTATAATATAGTACAAAATTTTTTATAATAGTTATTAAAGGGAAACTCGATATTGCATATTAATTTAGTTTCAACAACAATGACTATTAAAATATTAAAGCTATTAAAAATTGAATACATAAAACATGTGAATTTTGATCTTAATGAAATCGATTGAAACTATATGTTATAATTCTTGATTTGTTGATCAAAACTCTTTGTAAATAAAAAACTTGAAAATAGCTAATTTTTGGCTACAGCTATTTGAAATTTTGTACTTATCATCATTTTAATAATGTTATTTTATTAATAATAATGAATCCGTTTTCTGTAATAAAGTGAAATTTTAAATAATAATATATATTCACTTATATACATATGTGAGAAATGTATATGCATATGTATATGTGTATTTGCTTAAGTATGTTTGTGACAATATGTATGTAAGAGATGAGAGAGAGAGGCGAACATGCTGTTATGTAGCTTATAAGATGCTATATAGCTCTTAATGTGCTTAAAACTGTGGGGCATATGTATTTATTTTATTCCTCGCCTCCCTTTCACATAGCCTGCATATACATATATGCAACACAGTTTTTTCAAAATATTATGTACATAAGTAAAATAACTAATAAACAATAAACAATCTAACAAATAATAAACAGATCCGTTTCGATCCTAAATATGCTTTTCTTCAGCGTATAATAAAATGAATTATTCACTCAAGCTTAAATTAATAAAGAGCGCCTTACAGTTGTCTGAGATATAAAAAGTTAACAGTCCTAAAAGACGTTCCAAGAGTTCAGAGAGTTTTTGTAGTTTTATGTTAATTTTATTTTCATTTATTATTTAACTTATTTTAATAATTATACATAATTTTTTAATTAAGGTATCACTCGTTTTTAACAGCCTTGTTATTTAGTTTTACTTTACCTACTTTATTTATTTATTTATTTATTTATTTATTTATTTATTTATTTATTTATTTATTTACTTACATCCTTGAGTTTTATGACTATTATAACTATAACTTTATTACTAGTTTATGATTTTTAGACCTTTATATTTTCTTATATTATATAGATCATTTATGATTACGGGTCACACTTGGTTGAGACATACAATATTTCCACTACGGATTGCATCTCGAAACTTTCCTACGACGTCTTTTAGGACTGTTAACTTTTTATATTTCGGACAACTGTAAGGTACTCTTCATTAATCTTGAATAATTCATGTTATTATGTACACTGAAAAAGATCATTTATTTAGGGTCGAAACGTCTATTTATTATTTGTCATGTTTATTATTTGTCAGATTGTTTATTAGCATTAGTTTATTTATATAAATATTTTTTTGACAATTTAAATACATCATTAGCCTCTTTGGTGCCTCTAGCTTGGCCTCTCGTATAATTCGATTTATTCACTAATTAATATGAATCAACGATACACTCAATTTCCTTACGATTGATGACAAATACACCATCTATTGATTTAAATACATTTTTCAGCATTTTTTGTAAAATTTCAAACAGAAAAAACATTAAATAATATACTTCAAAATTTATGTTTTCTTACGAAAGCAATCTTAATATTTCGTAATTCCGAAACCGGGAATCACGAAATATTATATTAATTTAAATATTAATTTGAATCGGGCATATGCTTAGGCATTTTCGACTTGTTTTCATGTGCTAAAGTCTTTATATCAATTGTGGCACTGAATTCAAAGATACCCTGTATAATTTACTTAATTACTCACTAATCTAGCATCTCGCACGTGACAGACAAAGGAACTCACGTTATTAATCCAGTACTCCGCACGTGAGAAGCAAGAAGAATCACAAAATCTAATAGAATCAGCAATTA